GAGGATTAAAAACAAAAATAAATAAATAAATAAACCCCATCCCAGCTGCGCTTCCCGCTTCCCCGCCCAGACAGTGTGAGCGGCTTTCGGGAAAGACTGAAGTGGACTCTGTGGTCGCCTTGCTGTCCCTTGGTCACCTGTGGCAGAGGAAGCGGGAAGGGTGTGCCCAGGGAGGAGACAGAGGGCACTGCCCACCCTGCTCGCCCCAATTTCAGGGGAAAACCCTGGAAAGGCACAGAGTGAGGTGCGGGGCCCCCAAAACAACAGCCCCAGCACCTCACCTGATAACATTCCTTCAACAAGAAATGTTGAATCTGCCAAAACCGGTTTGGCTCAGTGGATAGAGCGTCGGCCTGCGGACTGAAAGGTCCCAGGTTCGATTCCGGTCAAGGGCATGTACCTGGGTTGCGGGCACATCCCCGGTGGAAGATGTGCAGGAGGCAGCTGGTCAATGTTTCTCTCTCATCGATGTTTCTGACTCTCTATCTCTCTCCCTTCCTCTCTGTAAAAAAATCAATAAAATATAAAAAAAAAGAAATGTTGAATCCACTCAGAGGCCACACCTTCGAGCTGGGCAGGGATGACAGACCCCAAGTCATCACGGAGGGGCGAGGGGTGGAGGCAGCGTTGGCAGGGGACTCTGAGGGGGGGGCAGGCCCTGAAGGCTGCCGCTAAGACCAAGCTGTGTGAGGAAGGCGAGGGCAGGGCCGCGAGGGCCTGGAGCATCCAGTCTGGGAAGGGCAGAGGGCTCAGGGCGATGCCATGGGGAACCCGGTGAGGAACGACCTGATTCTCTCTTTCCAACACTGGCTGAGCGGAGCTCCTTTCCTTACTTAAAATGAAGGCAGGTGCCAGCCATCCAGGCAGGCGAAAGCCCTCCAGGCAGGTGCCAGCCCTCCAGGCAGGTGTCAGCCCTCCAGGCAGGTGTCAGCCCTCCAGGCAGGTGTACGTCCTAATGCAACTTGCCTTCTGCGCATCAGTCTCTATGGGGCCCAACAGCCCTGAGAATTTGGTCTCCTTAGCGGTCAACATCACAGAGCACCCCATCGGGAAAAGCCTTAGGGAATTCCTGGCCAACGGTTCTTCTCTCTCATTATCGACTTTTTTCTTCAAACACAATGTTACAGGAACGTAGAATATATAAAACAGAGCAAAGCAAATCGACTCGGGTTGAAATGGGGGGAGGTGACTGGAATCTGTGCCTGGGCTGCAGGAAGCACCATATGGAAGCCCCAGGGCTACTTCAGCCCTATTGTACACTGTGGAAACTGAGGCACAAAGCGGTAGCCCTGATCACAAGCTCTGGGAGACCATCTCGTGCCAGTCTGACTCCCCGGGTCCTCACACGTAGTAGGTCCTCAGTAAACACAGGGGTGGGCCAAAGTAGGCCAACAGTTGTTCATATGGAAAAAGAGGGGCAGGCCGTGATGCTCACAGCAGCTTTATGAACTCTTCCAGGTACTCACAGCTGTAAACCTGTTGCCCACCACTGCCGCTGTTGGATAGCGACATGCAGGCGGTGCTGACCACCTTTGCACGGCCATCTCTTTCTCTACACATGCCATTGCTTTTCGAAGAGACTGAAGCGGGCTTGACCCTCAGAGAGGCCCCTTAATTGCCTGTGTTTTGAATTTACAGCCTGGGGAAGGGTTTATTCTCCGATCTAATGGCAGGAACAAAAGCGGAGCGGGAGAGGCTGAGGATGAAAAGAGCCACGACTTGCATCCGAGATGGAGGTGCTCTTTGTTGTCCTGCAGCCAAGTCCACTTCAAAGTTCTCCGCTAACCAGGTGCACAGCGGTCACCATGGCAACGGCCCAGCCACCCAGGCCTCCCGACCCTGGACAGCCCCCCCACCCCGCCGCCAGCCATGGCGTGTGTCTGGCTTCCAGGGAGCTGGATGCAGGGACGCCCCTCTTGGCCTGGCTCCTGTCACCCAACTGTCTCGTTGGTTCTCTGTCAGGGGAGAGGGGTCCGGGTCACCTGGATCACCTTTGCCCAGCAAACAGCATGAGCATCGGCTATGTACCTGGGCATCAGAAGTGCTCTCCTCAGGGCTGTACCTCCAGTGCCCGGCACACAGCACAGTGCTCGCTGACCCGTGGCCTGTGGATGAATAAATGAGTGAATAAGCAACCAGGCTCACCTGGCACTTGACAGGCCCCACCTGAACCCAGAGAAATGGGATCTCTGGGAGGCACACTCAAGACGGGGGGTGGGGGGGGGAAATTCTTTTTCTTTAATATAAGCTTTTTTTATTTTATTTTAAAAATATTTTTATTGATGTCAGAGAGGAAGGGAGAGGGAGGGAGAGATAGAAACATCCATGATGAGGGAGAATCATGGATCAGCTGCCTCCTGCACTCCCCCTACTGGGGATCGAGCCCACAACCCGGGCATGTGCCCTTGACTGGAATCGAACCCAGGAGCCTTCAGTCCACAGGCCGTTGCTCTATCCACTGAGCCAAACAGGTAGGGCAAGACTGGGGGCTTTTAAAAGCCGCACACCTGCCTCTCGAGTCAGAGCAGGAGAGAGAGGAAAGCCCAGTCAGCAGCCTCCCTGGCGTCTAGATTGAGCCACTGGAAGGCTGGGCAGCTGCTGCCGAAGGCGCCCCACCTGGGCGGGGACTGACCAGGGCCAAGGGGAGGAGCAAGACCAGAGTCAAGGTCAGAGCTCCTCTTGGACAGTCAGTCAGAGGTGCCGGGAGGCAGTCTTCAGTGTGGAGTCCTGGGCATCGTGCTAATTTCCACCTGAGTGGGTGAGACCAACGCGAGGGAGTGGAGACAGGGAGGAAACAATGGGCCGCAGGTGGAAACCCTGGAGAGGAGAGAGAGAGAGAGAGAGAGAGAGAGAGAGAGAGAGAGAGAGAGCCCATCAGGCAAAGGGCTGCGTTGGAAAGAGAGGTGACCAGTGCAGGCTGGGGAGGGAACCCCAGGGCACTAAGCGGGGAGCTGGAAAGAATGCTTCCCACCTCCAGTCCACGTGCGCTGGGCATCCGCTGCCGGAGGCGCCCCACCTGGGCGGGGACTGCGCATGCTCCCTGGGACCGTGATGGAGCCGCTCCAGATCAGCGGGGCTCCTTGCGGGCGTCCAGGCCTTCCCTCCGGTCTCGCCCTTTCTGCCCCCCGTAGGCAGGAGGGGTGCCAGTGGGAGCGGAGACGCACCTCATCCCCTCCTGGGACGGCTAGGACTTTAAAGCGCGCACAGAGCGGGGCGCCGGGCAGCACTTCTCTGGGACCCGCACAGGACCGTGGAGGTAGGTGCCCTCTTGACGCTCATCTGACAGAGAAACCTGCCAAGGCTGCAGGCGGCCTGTCCCCCAGGCAGAGGCCTTCACACGGCCAGCCCCGGTCGGCACTGGGGCCCCCTCAGACAGTGCACCCAGCAGCCCACACGGGTGCCAGGGCCCTGGGGGACCAGGTCAACCCAGTCACCACCCATCAAAGCAGCCGGCAGGGCACCCGAACCCTGAGGTCAGCAGGGCTAGGGGCGCTGCCCAGGCCAATCCTGTCCTCCCTGAGAGGCCCAGGAGCAGGCCTCCACTGTCCGGGTCACCTGCAGAGCAGGGCCCCGAAGGCCGCACCAGCCAGGTCTGTCCCCACAGCCCTCCCAGGAGCAGGGGGCACCCCACCCCGTCCTGGGAGAGCCTGCCGGTCCCTGGCCTCCCCTGAGAACCAGGTGAGAGTCACCGGGCAGCTTTAGACACAGCATCCAAACCCCAGCACCACCGACACTCGCAGAGCCTCCAGCAGCACATCCCAGTGGGACAGGGCGACCGTGCTCTGCAGAAGGTTCTAGGTGTGTCTTGCAGGCTTCAGCCGGTCTACCCCCCAGAGCGGGGCCAGTGGGTCAGAGGAGGAAGGGACCCGGGTGAAGGGCGACACTGTGCAGTGGCTGGGACTCCAGGGGCCACATGGCCCTAGCTTGGCAGGGCCGGCGATTTGAAGGACAGGGAGCAAGAGTAAGAAGCGCCCTCATGAAAGCTGCTCGGGGGACTTGGGCTCCAGGTGCGGCTTCCCCGCCAGGTCCCAGCGGGGGCAGAGGTCCGAGGAGCCCTCCTCCAGGACCGCAGTGAGGACATAAGTCGGAGGTGTCCCCTCCCAGAGGGCCACGGCGGGAGACATCCGCTCCCGGAGGGGCGGTGGCGGAGCCCCCCAGGCACTGAAAGCAGACGGGCCAGCAGCCGTGCGGTCTGGCGGCTCCCCCTGGTGGCCACTCGGGGAAGTGCGGTCCTCGCTGCCAGACACCATCATACCCGGACCTGTCACATCCTCTCCCAGGGCCCCGGTCCCCAGGAGTGACTCTGAGACAAGGACAGTGTGCATGTGGGTTATTTAGGGGTGATCTCAGAGCAGTGAGGAGATGAGACGGGGAGGTGAAGGGGCCAATACAGGGTGTTCTCATGAGCAGCGGAGGCTCCAGGCGGCTGGGAACTCGGAAACATGACCCAGGGTTACCCCAGGGGAGAGGCTAGAAGCTGGGTGCCATCAGTCATGGATTGAGGGCTGCTCCCAAGAGCCCTGACTCCTTGGCACTTCTAACCTGCCCTGTGAATGCCCAGCTTTAGGGGCCAGAGGAAGTCCTCAGGCAAAGGGAGCTGGAGTGCCAGGGCAGCTGGGAGGGCCACCTACAGCATCTGCCCCACAGGCCAGCTCATTCACGCGCCAGCTCATTCATGAATTGGCACAGGGTGAGTGCCAACGAGCGCCAGACCTCTTGTGTGCCCAGCCATTTGCTTAAGCATCAACACTTCCACATGCCAACTCGTTCAGGAGATGCCAGTCGCATCCCGCTGAGTGAGAACACTGGTCTGCACAGACCCTGACAATCAGGAACTCTCCCGGGCCCCTGTGAACACGGGTGACAGCGCCGCTCAGCGGATGGGCATATTTTACACGGGCTGGAATCGGCGGGTCTCGCTGGCATTCACACAGTCACGTAAGAAAAGAGGCTGCTCAGAGGAGCTCTGTTGCATCAAGGGCACACAGGGAGCAGCTCAGGAAGGTTTAATTCAGCCCACAGTACTACGTGCAAGAACAAAGGCGATTTTTTTTCTCATGGTGCAAGAAAACTGGTGACTTCTGTTAGGCCGTTTCATCTACATAAGGTGATGGTTTAAAAAAAAAAACGGAGACAGGGGACGCACTCTCCCTCCTGGGAGCATGCCCATGCCTTTCCTGTCCCCTTCCCCCTCCCTGCTTCCCCCATAGACATGCATCTGCTAAGCTCTAAGAGACCCCGGCGAGGCTTGCAACCAGGGCAGTGAAATAGTTCATCCCTGGCAAACCCCAGGCCCCATTTCTCTAACTTCTTAGTGAGCCAAAGCAGGTCAGCCTGGGCTCATTTCCCTGGTCCTTTCCCATTTCACTGTCCCCAGCGTGAATAAGCAGCCTCTAAAATAAAAAAATAAAAAAAATGAAGACAGGGAAATAAATTGGACATTAGGGCCTGGTGATCGTTTTTGTCTATGTCCTGTTACATAGGGCACTGGCCCCCTTTCTGCAGGGCCTGGCGGCTAAAATCAGGGTCCCAAGGTCTCAGATGACAGGCCGCAGGGCCAGGCTTTAACTACCCCGGCCCCGAAAGACCAGGCAAGCAACCCAGCTCGGCCCACACGTGCCACGTCGGGGACGGGGCGCCTTCCCGGTGTAGTGGGGTCCTAACACTTCCCTTTGGCGAAGAGCAGCATGAGCTGTTTGTACATGCGAATCAGCCTGTTCTGCACCAGCTTGAAAGCGATGCACACGATCTCCATCCCGACGATGATGTAGAGGGAGAAAAACAAGAAGAAGTGGGGGTGTTCCAGGGCGGTGTCCCCAAACCCGATGGTGGTCAGCGTGACGAAGCAGAAGTAGAAGGCGTCCTGGAAGTCCAGGTGCTGCTCCCAGGCGGGGAGGATGGCGGCTGCGCAGGAGATGTAGGCGAACACCAGGAGGGCGATGACGGGCAGGGGTACGTCCAGCCGCTCCACCTGCCGGCCCACCTCGTCCAGGTTGCTGATGACGGAGTAGGAGAGTCTCCCCGACACCAGCTCAGGGCAGGAGTTACTCCTGGGCACAGCCCCTGGGGGCGGTTGCAGTGTGTTCTGTGTGTCTCCCGCCAGGAGCCCCTCGAGCAGCTCCATGCTGTTGCTGGGGGCGGAGGGACACATGCCGGGTTTGGGGCCCGGGGGCTCCTGAGCGCTGATGATGATCCTGGGGATGGCTGGGTCCATGGGCTTGGCGGCAGGCCTTCTCCGGCAGAGCAGTCGGGAGCACCATTTGGAGAGCGGAGGGCGGAGCGGGAGGAGCCCTTGGAACCGATGGTAGGACCTGGACAGGATGGTTGCTAGGATGTCGCCGGTGTCCGTGAGCACCAGGACCATCAGGGGGATGCCGAAGAGTGCGTAGAGCATGACCATGTACTTGCCGAGCCTGGTGACGGGGTAGACGTGGCTGTAGCCTGCAAAAGAGGACACAGCCGGCTGGTCACCTGGCCCCCCCGCCCCTCCCCGCCCCAAAAGGCATTAAAGAGACCTCTGCCCTTTCCCCTCCTTGGTGTGACCTTTGACACAATGTGTTTGCAAATATGCATCTTAAAACACTCATCCTCTTGCCTACTGTTAGGCCTGCTTTGGGGGGGAGTAGAGGGTGACATCCAGCTTCTCTTTAGGAGACGGAGCAGGTCGTGTCCAGATGATTGACCTGGGGTGTCCTTGGCAGGGGACAAGCACATGATTGGGAGTGAGCTGACCGCCTTTCACCCTGCCCTGGCCATTCCTGAGCGTCTGCGTGAGATGGACCAGCTCACCTAGAAGGACAGGATGAGCGCAGGTAAGGGGGCACGGATGGCCTTGCAATCATACCCACCACCCCCTTCCTCCTCCATGAAGGCACTGAGTTTTTAAGGAGCCACCCTTGTCCTCGCTGGAAGGTCTGGGCCTCTTGGTTTGTTTGTGTCTGTGTATTAGGTGATCAGTATGTGCCTTCCATGTGTACAGTAGTGTGCATAGCATTCAGGACAGTAGGAAGTTGGAAAGTGAATAAAATGCAATTGCTGCCCTCAGAGCCACCGTGGTTTAGTGCGCTAGACATGTTCACGAATGATGGGGAAGCGGTTAGGATCCCAGCATCTGGAACAGTGGTTCTCAGCCTTCCTCATGCCGTGACCCTTTAATACAGTCCCTCATGCTGTGGTGACCCCCAACCATAAAATTATTTTCGTTGCTACTTCATAACTGTCATGTTGCTACTGTTATGAATCGTCATGTAAATATCTGATATGCAGGATGTATTTTCATTGTTACAAATTGAACATAATTAAAGCATAGTGATTCATCACAAAAACAATATGTAATGACATATGTGTTTTCCGATGGTCTTAGGCGACCCCTGTGAAAAGGTCGTTCGCCCTCCAAAGGGGTCGCGACCCACAGGTTGTGAACCGCTGATCTAGAATCTTACCAATCTCAGTTCGAATCCCAGCTCTGCCATTTACTAGAAAGTGACTTCCCTGCTCACATTTTAAGGTTTCTTATCTGTAAACTAGAGGCTCGGTGCACAAAATTTCATGCACTGGAAAGGGGTCCCTCAGCCCAGCCTGCACTCTCTCGCAGTCCGGGACCCCTTGCTCCTTACCCCCCACCCCTCCTCTGTGCTGGCCAGCTGTGAGCCCGGCTTCTGGGAGCGCACTGACCACCAGGGGGCGGCTCCCGAGGCATTGAGCGTCTGCCCCCGATGGTCAGTGCGCATCATAGTGACTGGTCTTTCCGCCGTTCGGCCGATTTGCATATTAGGGTTTTATTATATAGGATGAGGACGACTATCCCTGCTTTGTCTATCAACTAGCAGGCAGGACTACATGGGGTCAGCGCCTGACACATAGTGGGCGACTGGAGAAGGCTGGCGTCCTCACCCTCAGGAGCTAACATAGCTGCCTACTGAGCACTCACTGGGCTGGCGTCAGCCCATCTTCATAGGTGGGTGTTGTTATCACCATTCACAGATGGGGAGACTGAGGTCGGAGACATGAAGCAATGTGGCCAAGAGTATACGTGTGATAGAGAGTGGAGGTGGGAGTCACACTCCCAGGGCTGCCAGGCTCAGTTTCCACTGGGTCAGGGGCACCAAGGGGGCGGAACCTTCCAACCAGTGAGAACAGGTCATCCAAGCAAAGGGGCTGGTGGACTGAGGCCTCCATGCTCTCCGGAACCCCCTCCTTTTCCCACCCTCACCCCCACCCTCATGTGTACAGCAGGGCAGGAGAGGGAGCCGCCAAACCTCACAGCGCAGGGAGTTGGACCTTCTGGATGGGCAAGCTCAGTGACCTCAACAAACAGGGAACGCTTTCGTCTTTAATGCCTGTGTTTAATTGTTGATGCCTTAAAGGAAGATTAATACAGGAAACCCAGCCCAATTATGTAAATTAATGTGAAGGTAATTGCTAGGCTGGCTGAGCCCCAGCTCCTCCGGGGCTGCAGCTCCTGTGGCCGGCTCTGGGCCAGCTCTGCCCTGTGGGAAGGATCAGTTGCCGACTGTGCCAGGGTCCTGGGGGAGGGCTGCGGCCCGCGATGGGTCTCGGCAGTCTGTGCCTGTCCCGGGGCATTCCAGGCCACCCTGGCTGGTGCCGGCTCCGTGTGATGGCAGGGCGATTCGCTCTGTGTGTGTCTTCCTGTCATGTGTGCACGTGGAGTGCTGACTGCATGCGCCGGGCACACAGTGAGCAGAGTAGATATGGAACCTAACCCCGCCGAGCTTCTGGTTTAGTGGAGGAGACAGCTATGCATCGAATTCCATACCCCACTCAGCAGGTCTGGGATTCCAGATGGGGACCCAGGACAAGATGTATAAGAGCAGGCTGTTGCGTGACCTCACTCCATTGATTTTTAAAAGATAGTTTCCTATCTTAGAAGGAAAGCATGGGTGGGTGGGTGGAAAGAGATCAACCCAAGACCTTGAATGCATATATGCATAACCCATGAACACAGACAATAGGGTGGCGGCCTGGGCTGGGGGTTGGGGCCGGCTGGAGGGGGTCAATGAGGGAAAAGAGGGGACATATGTAACACTTACAACAATAAAAAAATTTTTTTAAAAGAGCAGGCTGTTGGGTGAGCAATTAAAACAAAGGCACCCAGCCTGGATTCCACATTTATGGAGCACCTACTATATACATGCCAGGCTCTTGTGCCCAAGCTTGGGGGCTATACAAGGAACAGGCAGAGGTCACGCCCTCTGGGGGCTCCTGGTTGAGAGGAAAGCTTGGCCTGGAGCTCGGCCCTCCTCCATTCCAGCAGGACGCGGCCAGGAGTGTGCACCGGGCTCAGGACTGGGGAGTGCATTGGTTCCACCTCCCACCGGTCCCGGGTTTGCTCCGTGTGGCAGGACTTGCTGGGAGGGCACTGAGGGTTCCCACTGCCTCCACTCCGCCAGCTCCCGCCCTCCCCTGAGGGACAGGGTTGCAGAAGTAGCCTCAGGACAGCCTCCCCTCCAGGCCTTGGTGAAAGCCCAGGACCACTGAGGAGACCGTGGTGGGTGGGGTCTAAGGGAGAGGGAGGACAGAGGTGGGTCATGGGTGGAATGGCCAACTGCCCTGCTTGCTCAGGACTGAGGGGTGTCCCAGAACAGGGGACTTCTGGTGCTAAAACCAATGCAGCCAGGGCAAAGGAGGCAGTTGACTCTGGCCATGGAGGAGGGCGTGGGGAGAGACTCCTGAGCAGGGAGGAGGAGAGAGGAAGGGGGTGGGCAAGGGGGCCGAGCCTCTCCTATAGGGGCAGGAGCTCAGAGAGGCCCAGCCATGGCGACCAGCCGGAGGAGCCCAGGCCCTGGATGTCATGGGACCCACAGAGCCATCAGCCCAGAAGGACGTCAACAGCAGCCATGGGGGCCCATCGACAGGCCTTTCCCCTCTGTTTTCCAGGCAGCACAGAGCCCCCAGTTCCCAGGCACCCCGAGGAAAGTCAGGAGTTAAAATTCCCCATCTGCAAGTGTGGAGACCCAGGGTCAGATTTTTTCCCTTTTAAAAGGAAAAAATGCTCATTTCTTACAAGATTTATAGAGCCAAGTGCCTTTTGGAGTCAAAATTCCTTGCAATACAAAACCACCATTGTTACCACAGTTAATGGACATGGAACAGGGAAGTCAGGTGACCTGGCCAGGGTCAAACAGCGTACAGCCCACAAGGGTGTGTACCCCTCTCCCTAAGACCTCACCCACCCCCCTCCCCACCCACACACACACACCCAACCTGCTCTCCTTGGCAAAGGTGGGCTTCGTACCTTATAAATAAAGTCTGTGGCTGCCTTGGGTGGGACATGTTTATAACCCAGAATATATGCCATGTTATAGAAAATACACCACAGAAACAAGTCTCAGAGAGCGCCCAGCCCCAACGAAGGGCCTATATTGACTGCCCCAATTACCGGCCGCTGAGCTGCATAATGGGAAATCAGATCATTTCTTCTAATGCATTTATATGTTCCACTAGGATCAGTCCCCTCCACTTAGGCTGGGAGTATTTAATAGCTCGTCCACTTAACTTTCTAACCTGAGGGGGCTGACCCAATTGGCAATGGCGGGGGGTTGGCCAGCCTCACACCTGTCAGGTGTCCCTTCCCCAGCATCAAGGCCAGGTGCATGGCAGGTGACCCAGAGACCAGGGCCGGCAGCGGCAATGCCAGCAGGGCCTTCAAACACCGTCATCGATTCCGGGCAGTGCAGAACTTTCCCCAACATCCTCTTCCAGTTGTCATTGCTGGACGGCCCGATGTCCTAATTGACTTACATCGTGGGTGATAGCATCGCTTCCTGGCGATTTAAACCAAGCTAATGTATTTCCATCACATCAGTGGTTCCCAGCCCGGAGGCCCGTTAGAATCACCCAAGGGCTCTGAGAAAGGCTGACGCCTGGGCCCGTCCCTAGAGATTCTGACTTGATTGGCGTGGGGCAGGGGCCAGGCGCGGAGCTTGTAGAAGTCGGCCAGGTGATTCTAACGTGTAGCCAGGGCTGGCGTCAGGTCAGTGCCTCCCCACGTTAGCGCGCATCCGAATCGCCGTGAGAACTGGTTAAACACACTTCGCCGGGCCCCACAGCCCTAGTTTCTGACTCAGAAGGTCTAGGATGGGCCTGAGAATTACCTTGAATTTCTAACACGTTCTTGGGTGATACATGTGCTACTTACTGGTCCAGAGACTGCACCTTGGTAACCATTGTGTTAGCTCAGTGGGTCTCAACGGGGGGCAGTCTTGCCCCCCCAAAGACATTTGTCAAAGCCTGGAGACACTTTTGGTTGGTGAAACTGGTGGGTACAGCGGAGGAAGAGGTAGAGGTAAGAGCCTCTGGCAGATAAGGGCCAGTGGACGCTGCTTTACTTCCCACAGTGCCCAGGGCAGCCCCCACAGCAAAGAGTCATCTGGCCCAACCGTCATATTGTCCATAGTGCCAGGCTTAGAAATGATAAGATCAGTTAGACCCTGAAGTTCTTGAGAAAAACACACACACACACACACACACGCACACACACACACTAAAAACAAACTAAACCCCATACTCTCAGCCCCTTGCTCATCTCCAGGATCCTCCTTGTAGACACTGCTCCCCATAACGGTTGTCCCTCAAAGTGTTCCCTGGAGCTGTAGGTCCCCTGAAAAGGCCAGGTGTGCCCTGCCTCTGCCTCCCTGGCCATGGCGTCCCCGTCAGAGCCCCAGCTCACTGCCGAGTGGGACGGAAACAGCATCTACCTCATGGGGTTGCCTTGAGAATGAAATAGGATAATGCAGATGAGGCCCTGCTGGGTGCTCAGGGGTATCGCTGTTATTCACTCCTTACCCTGGCAATGTCAGCCTTCTGGAAGAAACCAGCTGGGGACGCTGGTGATCCTGAAACCCACCTCCCCTCCCCAACCCAGTGCTGGGTGTCTCCACTGGGAGGCGCCACCGGAGCCACAACTTCCAGTCCTGCCTCTTGGACTTCCCTCAAGCCTGGGGCTGCTGCCCCAAGTCGGCGCTCCCACAAAGCCCTGAGCACATCCCGTGCTGACCGCGGGGCTGTCCCGAATTCCTCCGTCCTGCCCAGGAGCTGGGCTGGCAGGTGCTGCCGGCCGATGGTGTTTGGGACACGAGCACTCAACTGCGGGTGAGAAGGGGCTGGATCCCAGCCCAACACCTTGCTCACTAGGGACTACACCCCGTCTAGACCCAGCTCCGACCCTGCCCCTGACCTGATTATTCCTGTAGCTGCGGACAGGCCTGGGCTGCACCCACCTGAGAAAGGGCGCTCTTTTCTAATTCCCACGAAGGCGTCTTGCGGGCCAGTGGCAGGGCCTGCTGTGTCCTGAGCTGGGACCAGTGCCTGCCTGCGCGCAGGAGGCCTGGCACAGGGTAGGCCCTCCCCACAACATGAATTGAACATCCCAGCATCCTCACCAAGGGCCCTCAGCATCTCCCTGCCCCACCCTCTCCCCAGGCCTTTCTGCCAGGCCCAGCCTTGCCCTTGGACATACCCACGGTGCTGATCACCGAGCAGCAGAAGAAGAGCGAGCTCAGGAAGGACCAGTCTGTGGACCTGCTGGACCACTGGGGCTTCACCTTGGACAGCAGCTGCCGGAGGTCCATCTTCCTGTCTTCCATCCCTCGAGAAAGAGAGGACCAGAGTGAGGGAGAGCGCTCCGCCCTCCAAGACAGGGACCCCCGAGGTGAAGGGGAGTCTTCCCCAGGGACCAGTAGCGCCCCACCTCCCCCGCCCCTGTCCTTTTAAAATATATATATGTAATTTTTCATTGATTTCAGAGAGGAAGGGAGAGGGAGATAGAAACATCAATGATGAGAGAATCATTGATCAGATGCCTCCTGCATGCCCCTCCACCAGGGATCGAGCCTGCAACCCGGGCATGTGCCCCAAATCGAACCGTGACCTCCTGGTTCATAGGCCGACTCTCAACCACTGAGCCATGCTGGCTGCTCCCCTCCAACCCAGCCTTGAGGTCCCATCAACACGAACACTTGGCTCTCTGTTTGTCAATGTCTCTGCCGTTAGGTCCTGCTCGGGTTCCTGCAGGGAGCAGCCCAGGCTCGCGTCTGAGCTCAGCCACGGGAGGCTGAGCAGCCGTGCAGGGCTTTCTGGGCTCTCCAGGCCTCCGTCTTCCACTGTGCAAAGGGGCACACACTTCTGCCCTGTCTGTCACGGGGTCTTGTAAATTGAAAGCAAAAGGCTTTTATGAAATGCAAGCTGTGCTATGGTCGCAACCCGCACTGCCTCCTGGAGGTCACTGAGCCGATGGAGTTTGGTGGTTGTACTGGGATCTGTGGGCACCAGCCACCCGAGGGTATCTGGGATGCGTGGCAGAAGCAGGTTTGAGCCCGGCTGGCGTGGCTCAATGAAACAGGAGGTCACGGTTTGATTCCTGGTCAGGGCACATGCCCAGGTTGTGGGCTCGATCCCCTGTGTGGGGTGTGCAGGAGGCGGCTGATCAATGATTCTCTCTCATCATTGATGTTTCTCTCTCTCTCCCTCTCCCTGAAATCAATATACATATTGAAGCAGGTTGGGGAGCCCTGGTTCTTTAGGGGGGTTTTCAGAGGTCCCTTTGGCCTGGCAGCCAGTGGGTTTGGGGGACCCTAGAAGCCACGTGCCAGACTGTGGGTGGTGGGAAGAGGAAGCCACAGAGCCTGGCACATGGCAAGAAGTCACTACTCACTTGACTGGGCACCAGCCTGGGAGTCCAGACACCTGCCTTCCAGGCCCAGCTCTGACCCTGACCAGTTCCTATAGCTGCGGACAGGAAGCCTGCTTCTCAGCCCCCGTTTCCCCAGCAGGGAGGCAGTAGGACATGGGGGCGTGGGGGAAGTTCTGGCTCTAGAACCCAAATGCCTGGGGTTGAATCCCTGGCCCCGTTTCCTAGTGTGCGACCTTGGGCAAGCCGCTTACCTCCCTGTACCTCAGTTCCTTCATCTGAGAGAGGGGACAATTGATGGCCACCTCATGGGGGTGGTGTAAGGACTGAGTGTGCTATTGCATGGAAAGCCTTTGGCATGGGGCCTGCTCTTAGCTAGCCCGTACTGAGGAGCTTAACCTCCATTGAAAATCGGTACAAAATGTGTCTGGACCAGCTCCGTGTTCCCACACCATTCCGTGCATCAAAATCACCTGGGAAACTTCTTAAACATTTGATTCCACCCGGCTGGTGTGGCTTAGTGTTTGAGTGTCAGCCCATGAGCTAGGAGATCATGGTTCAGTTCCTGGTCAGGGCACATGCCTGGGTTGCAGGCTCGATCCCCAGTAGGGAAGTGCAGGAGGCAGCCGGTCAATGTTTCTCTCTCATCGCTGTTTCTCTCTCCCTCTCCCTTTCCCTTCCTCTCTCTAAAATCAATAAAAAATATTTTAAAAAAATAAGATTCTAGCCCTGCCCCTGGGGTCATGATTAAGTCGGGTTGGGGAAGCGCTGGGCATGCGCATTTTAGACAAGCCCCCTGGGTGGTGCCGGTTATGGCCAGGTGCAGAAAGCCCTGCCCTTGCGGACAGTCCAGAGCTGGTGGTGTCCCAGCAGCAGTGCTGGCAGAAGTCACCTCCCAGTTGGCTGAGCAGGTGTGTGTCTGTCTGGTACAGGTGCAGAGAGGAGGGGTGGGGAGGCCCCTCCACAGAGGGGAGACCCTGCCCCTGCAACCAACCTCTAGTCAGCCCCATCCCAGAGGACCTGCCTCCAGTGGAAACCAGTGGCGAAATAGAAGTGAAACCTGATCAGGACACAGACACAGCGCTTTGTGCCTTCCATCTCGTTTATCATCTCGTCTGCTTCCCATGGGTCCTTGGGATTGTGGGCCCCCCTCTGTCCAGCACTCTACACCCAGAGAGGGCAGCGGCTCTGCCTGGGGCCACACAGCAAGCTGGGAGACTGGCGAGGAGGACTAGAACCAGGCCCCAAGGTTCTCCTACAGTCTCTCCCCCTCCACTGAGTCCAACCACAGAAGAGGCTCTTTGAAATAGAAAACAGGAGAGTGGGGGCAGGCTGCTATCTATCTGGTGCCCAATTTGGATTGTTCCTTGACTTCTAATCCCTGTAAATGGAGTCATGGGTGGGGCAGGCATCGTTCTGAGGACCAGCCTAGGAACTCCTAGCCCCGGCTTCGTCACCTCCCCGCCCCCCAACCTCACTGTATCTCTAGCAGCCCACCCTCTCCAGAGCCTGCTGGCCTGTGTGGGGCTGGGGCTGGGGCAGCGGGAAGGGAGCGTCTTTTCAGAGCAGCTACTGGGTGCTCAGTGCTTCTTTGACATTCTTCACGGCAACCCTAAGAGGCCATTATTCTCCCTATTGACAGAGGAGAAAACTGAGGCTCAGAGAGGGAAGCCACTCGCCTAAGGTCGCCCAGGAACGGGAGGCTCCATGCAGAGGGTCCCAGCCCCTCCACCCACAGAGAAAAGGCCCACCCTGCCCTGGTGAGCCACCTACCAGTTCTGTTGCATTTTAAGAGGCCACAGAGCTGCTCCAAGAAATCCTCAAACTCTGGGTCGCCCGCCCCCACGTCCCGGCCACCCTCAATGGCTGAGAAGAGCAGGGCGCCCAGCATCGCGTAGGTCACCAAGGAGCAGAGAAAGCAGAGGCGAGGGAGGAGTTTCTCCAGGGCCTCCTGGCAGCACCTCCTGGCCTGGGGCAGCCCTGCAGCCTCCATCCTCCCAGGAGCTCGCAGGACAGGAGGTACTGGAGGAAAGAGGCAGAGCCACACCGCGGAGAGGAGGAGGAGGGGGGGGGGTGCGGCAGTGCCGGGGGAATGGCCAGGCTCCAGAGCTAAGTGGATGGTGCATGCCCTTCTCCCCAGGACTCAGGAAGCGGCCGGCACTCCTTACGGTCAGTTCAACTGAGTAACTCGCCCCCAGCGCCCCCAATTAGTATTGATCCACCGGGCAGGGCAGACGGGCAGACGTGGGCCCAGCAGCCTGGCCGGCCCAGGAGCTGCTGGGCAGGGGCTCTGGGAGGAGGGCGTGGTGGTTGCTTTGTGCTCTGGCCTGGCCCCTTTTCGAGGCTGCAGTTTTGACTTCCAGGGACCAAATCTGACTTCTGGTTTTCAGCCAGTGAGAGTTGTCTGTGGCGCCCGGTCCGGTGAGCAGGTGGTACTGATAGTGACGAGTGTGGCTGGAGTTTATCAAGGACCTTTCTTCTTGGTGGATCAAATTATCGGTCCAGATTCCTCACTCCCCTGTGGCATACCCACCTTCCATGCCCTCTGCGTGGGCAGAACAGACTTCCTTGCGCCTTCATGTTCGGCTGCCCACACGATCGCTCCAGCCAATCGGGTGTTAGCAAAGTAAGCAGGCACTCGCCCTGTGCTTGTGCACTTGGACTTGCTCCCCTGGCCTGGGCTCCGCCATGAGGAAAGCGTGCCCCGGCTGGCAGATGTGAAGAGGTGTACACGCTCAGACCCCCGCTCATGAAAGGGTTTGCGTGCAGCCTTGAGGAGCATGCTCTGTGACAGCCTCCGATTTCCCATCGTTCAGGCTCTGCCTCAGCTTCAAGCCCTCGCCTGGGGAGGCTCCTGATGAGTGACTGAGCCAGGCCCGGGCGCCTTCTGGGGCAGGGTGTTGATCGCGGGGGAGGCCGTGCGTGGTTAGGGCAGGAGGTATATGGGAACGCTCTGTACTTTCTGCTCAATTTTCCTAAAACTGCTCTGAAAATAAGACATAACAGTCTGAAATGGTTTTGCTCCTAATAGCAGAGCTTCAACATATAGGAGATTAAAAACTGATAAAATTTAAGGGAGAAATAAAGAAATCCACAATTATAGTTGCAAATTTCAATACACCTCTCTAAATACTGTATACAGGTAGGCAAAAAAAAAAATCAGGAAGGAAATAGTAGACTTGAACAGCACTATCGACCAAATTGACTAATTGACATTTGTTCCTCCCCAAAACTGCAGAATGTACATTCTCCTCAAGTGCCCATGGAAGGCCTATGGAGAGCAATCATATTCGGGGGCAGAAACCAAGTCTCAATGAATGAAAAAGGATCCAAGTCATACAAAGAATGATCACCATGAAATTAAATTAAAAACCAGTAACAGAAAGATATCTGGATAATCCCCAAATAGTAGGAAACTAACATACTTCCAAAACCCATGAGTCAAAGAAGAAATCACAGGGGAAATTAGAAAGCATTTCGAGCTGAATTAAATGAAGATACAACAGATCAGTTACTGTAGGACGCTGCCAAGGCCTTACTTAAGAGTTGCAGTGGGCAGTTATGGGTTTTAAGTAGAAGAGTAACATGGTCAGATTTTTGTTTTTAAAAGGTCTGTCTAGCAATTGAGTTTAGGAGGAGGCATGAAGTACAAAAGAGAAAGTAGGAAGTCGGACATGGCACCAACCAAATATTTCTTTAATCTGTATTGAGTGCCTACTCTGTGCAAAGCACTGAGATGCTGGAGGCCATAACAGGGAACAAGACAGAGTCCCTGCCCTCCAGGAGCTTATATGCTAGTGAGGGGAGAAAGAGCAAGAAATACAGAAATCAGGTGTAAAATGTGGTAGAATGTGGCAGGCGGGGGCGGGCGGGCGGAGACGTGGGAGGCAACTTTAGGGAGGCGGGTCTGGGAAAGGCCTCTCTTCAAGTGACATCTAAGCTGGCCCAGGCTGATGAGAAGGAGGTGACGATGCAAAGATCCAGGGTAGGAGCTTTGGAAACAGACAGAACAGCGGATGCAGAAGCCCCGAGGTGGGCGTGAGCTTGATGCATCCGAGGCAGAGGAAAATGTCCCGGTGTCTGGAGAACAATGAGATTGGAGCAGCCGTGGCCAGGTAGCTCAGTCAGTGAGAGTGCCGTCCCAATACACCAAGGTTGTGGGTTTGAGCCCTGGTCAGGACGCATACAAGAAGCAACCAACGAATGCATGAATAAGTAGAACAACAAATTGATGCCTCTCTCTCTCTCTCTCTCTCTCTCTCTCTCTCTCTCTCTCTCTCTCTTTCTCCCTCTCTCTCATCAATAAATAAAATTAAAAAGAATGGAGCAGGGGATGGGACAATCAGTAGGCCTTGCTGGCTGTGAACTGCATTCCAGGTGTAAGTGGAAATGTTTGGGGAATTTGGGGTGAGAGGTGATGTGGTTGCTTTTCCCTCTAGAAAGGTCCCCCGGGCTTACTGGAGAAGGCAAAGAGACCAGGTGTCCAGGCAAGAGAGCAGGGGAGAGATGGAGAAGTCACTGGAGTCCAGACACCCTTTTGGAGGCAAACCTGCCAGTGAATAGGGTGAATGTGAGGTCTAAGGAATTCCAGACGGAAGACTTATGCTAGAACAGTGGTGAGGGAGATAGAAATAGATGGATGTAAGATTCTCTACTTCATCGATCCTAACATGCACATGTTTTCCCACGTTTAAACTCCCATAAAATCGAGGTGCATTCTTCAGTCAGGAACACCTTTCAATGCTGTCAACCATGGAACAGCTGTGAGGTGGTTGCATGGTACACGCATTTCATGGACACTTCCTGTCAAGTTAAGAAAGTACCAGCAGCAACACGTTTTCATTTTGTTGTTGTTGTTAATCCTCACCCGAGGATGTTTCTCTATTGATCTTCTAGAGAGAGTGGAAGAGAGAGGGAAAGACAGAGAGAAACATCGATGTGAGAGAAACACATCAATTGATTACCTCCTGCACGAGCCCTGACCAGGGCCTGGGCTGGGGAGGAGCCTGCAACCAAGGTACATGCCCTTGACTGGAATCGAACCCAGGACCCTTTGGTCCATAGGTCGGCACTCTATCCATTGAGCCAAACAGGCTAGGGCCGTTTTAGATTTGATAGCATGTAGATATCATCACATGTGGATGTATGTGCAGGCAGAATGGAGAGGACTGAATGATAGATTGAATGAGGAGTGAGGACGAAGAGATCAAATCACAAGTCAGGAGGTCCCGATGCTGCGATGGAAGAGAAGCACATTTTGAAAGAGGGAGGTCAACATCTCACTTTTTCTCAAAGTGAGTTTGGGGTTCCTGTGAGCCATGCAGGCGGACATGTCAGGAGGCAGCTTGGCCTTTAGAGCGGCGCTGAGAAGAGAGAAGGAGGCTGGAGACCCATGTTTGGGTGGATGGTATATGTTGGAAATGAGACTTCCTAACAGGAATAGAGTGAGCAGAGACGACAGATGGTCCGTGGCTGAAAGCTGAGAAACTCCAACAGGCAGAGGGGAGCAGAGGAGACACCTGTAGAAGCTGCTGAGGTTGGTCGGCCAGAGCAATGGGTGGAAAGCGTGGGGGCTGCCATCTCAGAAGCCAGGGGCATATCCCAGCGTAGTCTCCCCAGCCCAAGGCTGCCAACGGGTCAGGAAGATGCAAATGCATGTGTGACCAGCGCAGCGAAATGCCTGGAGGATCTCTGACAGCTGGAATGCAAGGGACTCTTCCTTTTTCTCTAATCTTTATTTTCTAATGTTCTATAGGTCTGTGATGTACTGATTATCTACCCAGAAAAACTAAAAAAGCTGCCCGGCCAGCATGGCTTAGTGGTTGAGCATTGATCTATGAACCAGAAGGGCACAATTCGATTCCTGGTCAAGGTACATGCCCGGGTTGTGGGCTTGATCCCCAGTGTGGGGCATGCAGGAGGCAGCCAATCAATGATTCTCTGTCATCATTGATGTTTCTATATCTCTCTCCTCTCTCTTCCTCTCTGAAATAAGAAATACACATATTTTTTTAAAAAAAAACACTAATAAAGCAAGAGCATATATCTACTTTATGGGTGAGGATGCCTCCACACAATAGGTGTTCAGTAAATGTGAGTTGTCATCTCCAGACCTTCTGAGGTTTTGTATTCTGAGGCAAAGGCCTCGGAATGGTTTTGGGAAGGGACTGGATTTCTCATAGCTCAGCCGACAGGTAGGAAGGGCCTCTGTGGTCAGAGGACAGGCCTTTGAGCCCGGGGATCACAGCACACGGGTGCCTGCTGCGTCCCCACACGGAGCCAGAAAGCGCCCACCTGCTCCTGCAGAAGAGGGTGGGAAGGAAACTCAGTCTCCTTGAAATCTCTGCACAACTTAGATGCGTTCTTCTCTGAAACCTGAATTTTTAATATTTAAAAACGCCCATCCACTCAAAGGGGAGCAGAGGCCCAAACCAGGCACAGAGCCCACAC